ATCAGTTTTGACAAGGTTTTCATGATAATTCCATGTGTCAATACAGCTCATATTCTGCCAATATATAGCGCGTATTTATTTCGTGCTATTCACAGGCGCGGAAAATGCATTTTTTTTTCATATTCGATGCTTTTTTACACCTCGCGTTATACTTGTATTTCTTTTTTTCCATCGAAACAAGTTCATCTAGCTTGTATTTTTTCAGCGTTTTTTCGTTTACATACTAATTTCCTTGGCCAATGCGTGCATCGTACTTTCTTGATCGAGCGTATTTTCGCACCTTCCATTTCCTGTTTTGTGGAGAGCCTTCATTTGAAGCTCGGATTTTCCCTTCGTCCATATTATATCGTTTATTATTCCGGATTGTAGTTGTAACGCGAATCACACAGAGAAAGAGAGAGAAGAGTGGAGGGGATGAGCGCAGAGATGGATTTTGCACCCTGTATATTACACGTTCACATCCCGTCATATTATAGCGGCACGGTAAAAAGGCGTTATACGAGCACGAAAAATTCCCTTCCCTCATACATTCGCATATTCCGCATTGTGCGTGAGTCACATGTACGATTCGGCGGTAACAGTTGTGAAAAGTTCATAAAAGCGAAGCATGCGTTATATCGCAAACGAATACGATGTGTGCTTCGTATACTAATAAAACATCGATAAGGAACGGCGTTCGGGCGGTTCACGCCGGTCTACCTTTATTATCTGTTCGAGAAGAAAAAGCTTGCAATTATAAATTCTGATTAATTCGCTTTTTTTATCGTTTCATCGAACATTTATGATGGATGAAGTTTTTGAGCGAGGCCGCGGACGTACGATGTTATAAATCATGCAGTATCGGAGTATATGCGCTCAGTTGGTACATAGCGTGTATGTATTTTAGTCGATATTTGATCTTGCGTCAAAAAAATAATGATAATAAATAAGGCATGCGCACGTTTGCTCTAACAAAAATTTATATTTGCATGTATAACAATAATTTCTAATGTAAAAGTAATATACGCGATTTAGCGTCCATAAATTCGTCATTTGCAACAAGTAAATCTTAAAAAATCGCCAAGTACATAGAAAATTATTTTTGTATAGCGCATCTTTTTAATAATCTGTGATTTGAAGCTTTTTCATTAGTTTTTATCGATTTGTCCTTGATTAATGAATTAACCATGTGTATTTAATTATGAAAACCGCACAAAAGGCGGTGTGAATGTTCAAATAATGGTACCAATTGCCGCAATAGCGTTCCTCTCGTGCGAGAGGAGAAACAGAGCAGATTGAAAGTGGGTCGGGTCGCCGATGGGCGAGGACGATGATGAACGAGAGGGTCAGGACGCGCGTAAGGGAGAATGGGGGGTGGGAGAAGTAATGCGATTCTCGCGTGAGAATCGAGCGAGGGTGCCAAGGACGCGCGCGGGAAGATCATGACAGAGAAGAGGAAGGATACCCCACAGAAAGGTCTCCTGATCTTGGTTCTGGTCTCTCGAGAGAGGACAAGAGTTTCGAGACGTTCCTGCTGCCGTTCCACCCGCCCCTTGCGGGTCGGCGATTTGTCAGGCGGGCGAATACACGACGAGAGATAACGGCGAAGTTTCGCAGACGCTCCGGACGGCCACGGACTTTCTCTCTCTCTCTCTCTGCCTCGCGGCTCGCGGTTGACAAATGCGCGACCGTCGCCAGTGCGCTTTCGGGGAACGGCGCGTTTTGTATGCGTACAAATGGCGATCGCGACACAGGGGGACACGCGCGTATATGATAAGCGCGCCATCGGGGAACGGGATGATCCGGAACGCCGCGGTTTCGCTACGGTCTCGGAGGAACTTGACGAATGAGCCTAGCGAATACACAACGTTTGCATTTTTATCGCGAAGGCGATATCTTTTTAATTAAGTCGCGAATATCCGAGGCATTTTTCGATGATAAACGGTTGGCTTTTGCGTGACGCAAGTTTGTAACAACGTTAAAGTCGGCGGTGAAAAAAATTGACAAATTCGTTACGTTATTGCGTAAACAATGAAAGGTATGTACATGCAAGTTTATAATATCGTTATAGATGGATAGGATTTGTGTTATTCTTGTACATGAATTTTGTGATTATCACGATTTATATAAGGCGGATGAATTATTGAAACGGGAAAACATGCACACTACATATAAATGCACCGTGAAATAACATTCGCGATAATGTGCATAATGCGCGACAGTACAATGTGAATCGATATATACATTGCGATGACCAGCGAAAATATTTACGATTAAAGAGCGTATTTTAATAAACGCCCACGTCAATTAGCGCAATGCTCCGGTTTAATGAATGTGCTTCTGTAATTACGCGAGTAATACGTATTATTGATACGGAACGAACATTTTGCGCGAGATATCGTGGGCCAACAAATTGAAGAATCGAAAGGCAAGGGCGTGTTGAAAAACATGATACGGATTAATATCCTCAAACTCATGAATAAAACGGAAATACTGGCGCATATTATATCAATAGTCGGGGCATTGCGTATGTGCGGGTATTTACAAACCTATCGCTCCCGGCATCGATTGTTTGCGAATGCGGGCGCGGCTCGTGTTTGCGCGAGACTCTAACGGTAATCAAATACGTCGCTAATTATTCACGGGAAATTATTACGCGGAAAGATGCGGCGCGGGATAATATCTTAAAATGCAAGTATCGTTATCCTTTTTTCTCGCGAGCCAGGGAAATGGCGTATGCGGCTACTCTCGTCGGGGGCGACGAGGGCTGTCCGCTGATTACGACGATGACAAACGACAGCGCGTGGGAATTACGAAATGAAGGTTTAATAAGGTATGAGCCAGATCGCGACCCGCGCCAGCCACCGCCACCGCCGTCGCCACGTTCCCTGCAGTAATTAACAAATCCAATTTTAATCGACGGTTCAATTCACGCTGCGTCCTGCCGGCCGGAAATGCACTCGCGAGCACCCCGCCTCGTTCCGTACATGCAATCGTCATATCAGCGCGTAAAACTGATTAGCGGTTCCCCTCGCGACGCAATTATCTCGCGCTGCGCCACGCCGGACGGCTCGTTCTCATTTTGTCGCGAGTAGTAAACGAAATAAGCTCGCAAACAAAATAAATTCCTTTGTCCGCAATCTATGCTTTTAGTCGGCGCACCGGAAACTCGGCTGATGGTAATTAGAGCTGTCTATCGATTAGGCTGTTTGCGTATTTCTAATTTGCAGTTTGTATCAGTCATGATTAATGTTACGGGTACGAGTAATGTTATACACTAAGGATATAAAGAATTGTAATAAATTATATGACAAATTAAAATGATTAAAAACAGAAGAATATGTCGCGTTTGTTATATTTGTCCCGTGTAGAGCAGTCTTGAAAGTCACATATTTTATAATTTAAAAAAAGAAAAGGCGCGGTATTTTAGTTTTATTAATTAAAGAATTACAAATATGCCGAGAGATTGTGACGCTCGTGTCTTGATGTGGTGTGAGGAAAATCGAGAAATCATAATTCACCGAAGAAAATGAGAGCAACGGTATCTAGTTCGTTTCACCAGTGGTGTAACATTCTATAATTAAAAATCCCGTGCGGTATCATTTTTATCACCCATATTTCGCATTCTCGCGTGAAAGGAAAACTCGGGGCCGTGCAGTATCGCAATTTCTATGCGTCGTCCCCCTGAAAATCGCAATACGAATTGGGAACATCGTATCGCCCGCATCTGTATTTCCTGTGTGCGCGCACGTTGGCGTCCTGTGTACCATTCGAAAAGGGCTCAATCGAAAAATCTGCAGTAACGCTCGAAACGACGTAGCCAAAGCGCACCGCGCCGCACGATTGCCGGATTGTAAAACAAAGCATGCAGCACGGCAGTGCAAGCATGCAGGTGTGAACGCTGATCGTGAATGTTTCCGCGTTTTTTGTAGCCCGTTTGTGTATATACGAATATGCGAGAGCGTGTACGTTAAGTCCGCGTTGTATAAAACAATGCATAAACCTCTCGCCCACGTATAATGCGCGAAAATGATTTAGTAATGGCTGTTTTTTCCCTGTTTTAAATAATATAAAATTAAAATTTTATTTTCTCCCTATACTGCTGTATTGTAATAATGGTTATACGGATTTATCATCTTGTAACAATGAAATGTGTGGGTGAAGTAAAAATCTGCATTTCCCCTTTCTCTCTCCGTTCATAATGCATATATTTATTATTTATATATTTTAAAATATTGGACTTTTGAAATATTGAAATATGGCAGATAAGGCTACTTCCACATGCAATCGTAATGTAGTTTACCTCCGCGTATATATACGGTGACCGCTTTAATAGGGCACAAAGACGGATTAGCACAGGCGGCATTCTAGGCGTCACGTGTTACATGTGCGTAATTATAGTCGCGCGTTAGTTGACGGACACATCGATGCACGATATATTTATGGTTTATTGCAGCGCGTTTACGGGTGGAATTACAGTCGGCGCTCGTTTTAATGGATGTCGAGATTGCGGCGTCGCGCGCGCGCTACCGCGCTCGTAATTTTGCATCGGTTCGGTAAATTATTAAATTTCGATCGGTTTAACTATTGTCAGAACGTGGGCTCGGCTCGGACACTAAGGCTACGTTATGCTCTATTAAGGTATGATCGATTATGGTTTGCGGCCACGTTGGCGACCGATCGCGAACGGAACTGACTGGACTCCGCCAACTGCGGTTAAATTCGATCAAATGTACAATCACGCCTCTTGCTCTTTAACATAAATAGTGCAACGATTTACATTCATCACTTTAACACGATGGCGATTAAGCGGAATTTTTTTTTCAAATTAATTAAATATCGAAAAAATGTGAAGATATTTCGAACTCGATATAGTAGGTCAGTAGGAGATTGATAAATGAGAAAAGAAATAAGTTTTGACGAAGTTTTTACAAGTTTTCAGCAATATATACTGTGAATTTCTAAAAATAATTTTCAAGTCAGTTTCATATAAATAAATCCGCTAAATATATATTTTACAGAGCGCCACGTCTCCCGGTGCCAGTAACGATGGCCTCACGAAACAACAGCTGGAGCTCATCCAGCAGATCATGCAGCAAACGCAACAACAGCAACAGCAAACAACTACGCAACAGCAGCAACAGCAGCAGCAGCAGCAACAGCAGCAACGGACTGCGACTCCCTCGGCAGCGGTGACCGCACAAATACAAAAGACACAAAAACCGTCCATCAAATCCACTGCGTCGCCCGGCAATATTTCCAACAATTCCGCGAGCGGAAACGCGACCAACAATGCGAGATCGAGTCCAAAACCGAAGATGTGGAATCACACGCAGGTAAGTGTGACATTGTAAATGGAAAAAAAATTCTCTATTTTTCGATGCATTTTTTATTTGCTAAGTGTGAAGATTGAAAGTCGCATTGAGTGTTGCAACCAATTATTGAATAAAACGATAAATTGAAAATGATATTAAAAATGTATATAACTACCTATAGTTATATAGTTTTTTGATAGTAATACGGAAAATTGCAGAGCTAAAGATCAATGCAATCAGTATTTATTTTAATAAACGTGAAGAATAATTATATTTTATACAAAGAGAACTTTATTTCTTCTGCGCGCATTTTTGCGAAATAAAGTAATGAAATTAAATCATCTACTAAGAATACATCAGAAATATATCGCGATGCAGAGTAAAGAATAACAAATAACTTTTAATTATTATCAGTATTAATTATTTGATATCATTTCGATGATATCAAATCAAGCTGTCTCAATTATATCGATCGAAATAAATCTCATCGATGAATATTATGATTACGATGCACTGGCTCGCGTACATCCTGTATGATTTCATTACGTATCGCGTAACGAGATTCTGAGCGCTCCGAAGGTAATACCTGTAGTACCTTCAGACTGCTTTCTGTTGAAAGGGCCCTTCTTCCGCATTAGGCAGCGGAAGTATTACCGGGCGCACCCAAGATCCCGTGTACACGGCTCGTTGGAACTCGCCGCGGTAATCTTTTGTGCGGCGAATACACCGCAAATCGCATTACGTATCGCGGCCGGGGTAGATACCATCCCGGTACTCGTAATCCCGTCGACGAGGACTCGTCGAATATTATACGGAAACGCGAAACAGCGAGATATCGCGCGCGTGACCCTTTGTGCGAGATTCTGTTCATTTTCTCGTTGAGACACGAAGCACAATCGGATGAAACGATAGGCAGGCGCGCGATATCCTTCCGAGAGCCTGCGCGCATATCATGAATGTTTAAATTAAACAGATTCGAATTCGAAGAAATTCTGATACGAGAAAAAAAAATATATTTTACTTTTTAATAGATATTAAAATAATGTTTGTTTATCGATTTTATTCTCGAATCGGTAACGTGTAATGTTTTCGCAAGGTATTTTTGCCACAATTTTTCCGCCGAATTGAATTGATCGCTCTGCTCTTTCACGGAGTAAATCCTGCGCAGTGTTAAAAATAGCGGTCGAGCCGGTTTCGCGAGTGAGTCTTCGGGAACCGTTCAGAATGAAACATTCGCCAGCGCGAGAATTAAATCCGCCATTGAGAGCCATGTAGCGCAGCTTAATCCGTCCTCGTTGAATCACGCGGTGCTCGCTTGATAAAATTGCGCGAATCGCTAATTGGTCTCGCTCGCTTCCCCTTTACATCCCTGTCCTTCCGACCGTCCGAATCTTCGGCGATCAAAAGGACGAACACTGTGAAAGGAACCTTTGAGTAGATCCTTTCACGGTTCGGCGCATCGAATGCTGCAAAATTTTCTTCTGACGTCCTCCTTGTCGTCCACTGGAGAAAGGCGTGTGATTAGCGTGGAGAATCGTAGCCGGAAGTCCAGTCGAATATCTCTTGCTTCCGACAAGTCGGGAAAATTCATTGTTGTCTCGTTTAAAGCGAAAATGTATAACAAAATAACTTCAACTCGCTGAACTTGTTAAATTACTTAGGTTGATTAATAACATCTGAAAAAGTTTTTGAAATTTCTCTTTTCTCGCCATTTGTTGGGGCTGTCTTATGCAAGCGAAATATTTGTGTAACCCGTTAAGTGCTGATACGAGGAATATTAATAGCGAGTCTCCGTAATCGAGTGTTGGCACAAGGAACTCGTCTCTCCAATGTACAAACATATCAACCGTATGTCCAACGCGTCAACTGCATCGATCTGGTAATAGTGTGACTGAACGTCCCTGGCCTGTCTATAAACCGTTTACTGTCGTTACTGAATCATGCATAAAAGACGATCACCGTTCACGTACTTAGTTGATGAGAGTTTTAAACCTTCGTGCTGCTTAGGACGACTCTATGATGGAGCACAATTGTATGTACATTTTACGGTGATAATATATTATTAAAATATTTTAATTGACTGAATCGTTACGGTCGATAACTGAGATCACCTTATTAATAACTAAATTATTGTATTAATAACTGGAAGCACTTGCAAATCCTAATGGTCAATAACTACGTGGTCATTGACTGTACGGGGGGTTCACTATAGCTTATAGAATTATCTGCTATAGCGCCGGCTCTATAATTACGCTCATCGGCCGCCTGCAATAGCCGCCCATCGATCGCCCGCGTTCGACGCAAGAAAACGTACGCGCAGTTCATCATCGAAGATTCCCGCTCGCCTGTATTTCAGCGCGTTTTTCCGCGACGGGACCCGCCGCCAACACCCCGGTAGCACCTCTCCGCCACCTAACTTCATTACGTTAATGGCATAATAACCATTGCGGGCGGCCCGAAGAGCTTATGCGCCGGAACGTCGATGTCCCTAAACACAGCAAGAAGCGAGCGCGGAGTAAAATCGATCCGATCTCCATTAATATGTATGAGGTCTTCGCCAATGGACGCGGATGGGGGTGGCCGTGGGGAAAGCGGGAACGAGACCGGGGGATTCGTACTCTTCTTGCCATTCCGCGCCCTCCCCCGCGTCGCCACCTCGAACGCCGAACTGTGGGCGATCGCGAAATGCTCTCGGAAACTGTCGTAATTGCTTAGGAACTCGAGGACGAACGGATTCTTCGGGATCTGCGTCGCGATGAAAGGGGAGGACGAGGGGAGTGGGAAGAGGATCGTGCATATAGAGCGAACTCGGCAAACTCGATTTAATTGCGATCCCTTATACAATTACGTTATGGTCGCGAGCGTTAGCATTGCTCGAGCGCACAATGAAAACGCGTACATATATATACCGAATCGCGGCTTTGGAATATATCGCACTTAGAAATTCACGTTGCTCTTATTTGCATATTTATCGAAGATGCATTATACGGGCGTGTACATCAGGTCTGAAGGATCATCGGCGAGATGAGAAAGTTATTCGTCGTCGTCGGTAATGCACGATAGACATTAAAGACGAGCGCAAAGTGCGCCGTTAAATTATATTTAGCCTTCTTGTGTCACTTTGATATCGTAAACACGTCCCGGCCATTATCCGCCAGCTTTATATTGCGCGGCGCGGGAATATTCATCGTATTTCCCTGTGTATTTATGATCCGTTACGCGTCCTAGACGATCCGGCTACAAATATACACGCGCGAACCGACGCGAAGATCCGCGAGGCTATCACTGGGAGCAACGACATTTCGTCATTACGTTATATCTTATTTCTACCCTGTTCAACGGCGAAGTATCTTTTTTATTACGCACGAAAAGAGAGACAGTAAATGTATAGTTGCAACTTACACAGTCGCAACGATTTACATCTCGGCTTACCCTCGACGCTGTTACCCGCGTCGTTAACAGGTATTCGCCCCGCACGCGTTGGATCGGCGTTACGAATATCGATGACGACCGTATTTGCGAGCGCGACGCGAGCACCGTGCGCGCGTGTATTCGCCACACATTCCGAACGCATAATTCACGTCATTCTACGTGAAATATACGGTCGCCCGATTACGGGGACCCAACTACGTTAATCCGATTATATTTAGCCTTCTTATGCCGCGCCGGCCGATATCGTAAACATGCCCGTTGGCTCGCGGCACTAAATTCACCCGCACGCCCCTTCGTGTCTCGCGATAGCGTCGCACGGACGAACGCGCGTCCGGAAGAAGAGATTTTGCGTCGCAAACACGCGATTATCTCAGATTTGCATATGTGTTTTCGTTGTTCGCATACCGTGCGGAAGACATCGCCGGGGGAACGTGTATCTCGGTCGCATGTCGCGAACGCAACACCGAGGGGTCCTCTTATTCATCTCCTGGCAGTCGAGTCACAGCCACGAAATAGTGCGATCTCGTATATGTAATCGCTTTGGCATAGCGCGCACTCGAGTGCCGTGCGCGGATGTCACGTTGCGTTACGTTAAGTTTGCACCGTTACATCAGGACTCCTTTTACGAACGCCTGTTTAACTATGTTGCGGACTAAAAATAAGACAACCTTACTTGATGTAAATAGTATTAAAGCCAGATCTAGAGTGATGCTTAAGTAAAAATTTATAGTGCACGATTGATTATAAAATGAAGTAATGAAGACCCGATATAGAACATTTTTAACGTTAATTAGATTTATTTTATTCTTTTAGACTTTATTTCTATATTTGTTACCTTTATCTGTGTATATGCTGCTAAGAGTATCGGTGGAGCAAATAAAACGGCCAATCAAGAGTGTGTCAACTACATTTGGTGTTTTACGTGTTTTTCAAACCGTGTAGCACTAAACGCGATGTGTTTCTCAAATGCGATATATCCGGCGATATCAAACCGGTACGACGTCATAACTGTATAACTGCCGAGTTATAACCCTGACTTCGAGCTATACTCTCTCCCCCTCCTCTTCTCTTTCTTGGCTACTTACTTGTTACTTATGTAAATATTCACATAACGCGTATACATATTCTAAAGACTCTGGTTCATTACGTTTACGAGGTGACACACATATTAAATGCAAGCATATTAAACGCAGCGTGCATTCATATTAGTTTAGCGTGTTTGTCAAATGTGTGACACTTATTCTCTCCGAATAAACGAAAATGTAGGACGTTTCCAAGACGAGTAGCCGAATTTCTACAACATGCTTGTCCTTTCTGAATAAAGTCTTTTTTTAGGGAAAACCAGGAGAAGGAATTTCTCGAATTCTATAACAACTAAAGGGAATAAAAGTGGCTGCCGAGGTCGCGATCGATAAATGCTATTAATATGTATGGCGTCTTTGCCGACTCCCTTCGGCGGAGGATTTGAGTAGATTCAGAGCGAAAGTTTTTCCTCCTAAATAAATGAACGATAATAATAAATAAAGCGCGCGACGTAAAGCAGTCGACGAAGATGCGACATATCGTGCATCCACAAAGGTGACTCGTAA